CATATCTCCCACTCCTCAGTTCACCCACCCTAATCATTAGCTAAATGGCATGCTTACCTTTGTTATTATTAACAATAATAGCAAAAGCATTAGCAGTCAACATTTACTGGAACTTGCTATAGTCAGATACATGATAAAAGAAAAGTACTCCACATATACTATCTCATTCATCCTCACTGCAACTCTGAGACTCTATCAGAATCCCCATTTAGAGAGCAGAAACTAAGGCATAAAGAGATTAATAATTTGCCCAAGGTCTTTCAATGGCCAATATGTGACAAACACATAATTTGAATTTAGGTCTACCCAACTCTAAAACCCTAACAATAAACTTCTTTCTTATGATTCCTACCAACATGTCTGCTCAAGCTATTACCTCAGAGTACCTCTACATCTAAACTTTATTTGCCTTAATCTTATCTATCTTTAAAAGCAAAACTTTAAAAGCATGCCTCATCCATTAAGCTTTCCCAGATCTCTCTCCATAGCTGGTGACCATCTCTTCCAAAGCATTAAAAGAACCAATAACACTAAATCAATTCCTTACCTCTGACACTTGACATAGTCTACCTCCTGTTATAATTATCGATATACTTTTCCTATTAGATAAATATCTAAAAACATTTACTATTTGAGAACAAAATAGTAGGCTACTTCACCCTTGTGCATCCTTGTTACCTAGCACAATTTAACTTACTGAATGAATGAATAAATGGTGGCTAGGACATTAGTCTAGCCAGTAACACAATTCAATGTTAATGTTTCATTCTATACAAGCAATGGTAACCTTACTAGCTTCTTCGAATTGACCTATATTATATTATTGTGTTATCCTTTATTTCGTGTTAAATTTTCAGATAAGAAAATGAAAAGCTAAAAACTGAGAGGCTAACCCAAACCAACCACTGCTTATTATTTTGGTATGAATTAAAAACAGGGCCAAACTCCTGGGCAACCCATTAAAAGAAAAAAAAAAAAAAGCAAATAGGGCAGTGAGTGGCAAAGAGATACTTCTTAATAAGGGGAGAACACAATATGTCAGGATAACAGGAGAAGTCATCATGGGGAAGGTAGTAGAGAATATACTAAGCTGCTATAGTCTAGGCACATTCTTGAAAAGAAAAAAAAACAACAAAATATGATGAGGGGGTGTGTATGAAGTTTATAAAAGACTTAAGAGACATAATTACTAAATGCAATGTGTAGACCATCTAGATATCTTTGTTCAAACAAGTTATTGTAATAGGACATTTTGGGACAACAGTAAATTTCAAATAGAAATAGGTATTAGATGATATTAAGGAATTACTGTTAATTTTGTTAGATGTGATATGGTAGAGTGATTATATAAGCACGAGTCCTTAGTTTTTAGAAATATATACTTAAGTATTTAGAGATAAAATACCATAATGCCTCAAATTTATAAAATATTTTAGCAAAAAAACCAATGTTAATGACTATTAAATATACGTGAGAAATAATGAGCTCATTAAATAATCATCTTTATTTTTCTTTGAAATAAATAAATAATGAGTTGTCATAGGAAAAAGTCTAGCCACAGTCCCAATTCTTGTTCAAAAACTCTAGATGACCAAAATGATGGAATAAAGTCAAGGTTTTAAGAGAACTGGTACATTTTTGGTTTCGCTTCATTATATTCCACAGCTTATTACTATTTATTTAAAACATTTCACTATTTATCATTTACCTTACTCTGCATTGTTGGTGTTTATAGTCCTCTCCCTTATTAGACAGTAAACTTCTTGAGGGTAGTCACAATGCATTATTTATTGACTTTGGTACACAAAAGAATGTCACGTACCAAAAAGGAAACTGGTAGAACAGAACTGCTTTGGAATTTAGCTTGCACTTGGCAATCATAAAGAAAATAGAGAATTTCTACACAATAATTTCCTCCATACAAAACTAGAAGCTAATTTAACAGGCATAATATAGGTATGTATCCACAAAACTATAAATTCCTTAACCTTAATTAAAAAAAAAAAATTCTTAAGCTTCTTAAAAGAGAAGCATAAAACATCTATGTTATCTAGAAACTACACCAGAGGTTCTTAAAGTGTGGTCAGGGGACACTTGAGAGTCAGAGACTCTTTCAAGGCATATGTAAGGTAAAAACCATTTTCGTAATAATGCTAAGATGTTATCTTTTCAACTCTCATTCTCTCATAATTGAATAATGAAGATTTTTAGATGTCTTGTGATGATGTCATTCTGAAGGCTCAGGAAATGTGTGTATTCTTGTATTTTAAATTTTTCTTAGTTTTAATTTCTAATATGGTATGTACTGATAGGTACAATTTGCATAAACAGAAAGTTCTTCGGGGTCCTCGATTATTTTTAAGAGTATAAAAGGGTCCTGTGACCAAAACATTTGAAAGGTATTAAACAAATGCAATCTTTTATACCCGAGCACTCCTTTCTCACTGTCAACATCAAAGGTTTAGGCGCATGTATATGTGTGTGAATGGGCACCACTTTATCTTGCCCTTTTATGATTTTTATGTGCCTGTTGCTCCTACCATCTCAAAATCTGAAGAATGCAAGTAGGAGGAAAAGCACATCAAAGTGACATACTTTATAGGATTAATTACTCTAAATACGCTCTTGGGCAAAAAGTATAAACTAAGTAAACTTTCAAACTTTCAAGTTATGAAATTTCTGCTTTTTCCCTCAGACATGTGTTGAACAACTTAGGGAAAGGGAAGAGTAAGGGACAGGGCTGATTAAGTGACATTTTCCTAAAGATATCATCCCTGTGTAATTGAGAATTCTTTGGAAAACACTGCTTCTTTTAATGACATACTAAGAATGAGAAGCAAACAAGAAACGAAAACTAAAACTATCTATGAAAGAAATAATAGAGCACCTCATACTCTTCACTTTTAAAGTAACATATTTTTTCACACAAAAAATTTATTTATACTTGTTCCTCGATTTACTTGGTATTTTTTTGTGCAAGTTTTTTACACATGGTAAATATTCACCACCACCCCCCCTCACCCCATTTATGCAGACTTTTTATACGCAGTTTCCATTTACATGGTCTCATTTTACACAGTTATTTCATTTCCATTATTGGTGATTACTCTTTCTAAAAAATAATAGCTTAACTCAGCAACGTACAAAGAACTAATACTAATAAACAATTGTTAATGATCTTCTCTTTCATTGGATGGCAAATTAAAAAGTATGGGCAACTACTGATGTTTTTCAGGATTGGTTTTACAAATATTTTGCCATAGAAGCTAAAAATTACATGAAGGAAAAATGTCTTCCTTTTAAAATACTTATACTTTTAGATAATACACCTGGTCATCCACACTTTTTTTTTTTTTTAATGCCTACAGCACCTGGTATTCCTAGGTGGTCTCCCATCCAAGTACTAACCAGGCCCGACCCTGCTTAGCTTCCGAGATCAGACAAGATGGAGAACATTCAGGGTGGCATGGCCATAGACATACATCCACACAATTTAGAACATCCAAATATGAAATTTGTATATTTGTCACCAAATACAACTTCCTTTAGATCTAACCTTTAGATCAAGGCATTATATCTACCTTTAAGATTAATTATATTAAATGGAGTTTTAATGATATTTTTAATAAATTTGGAAATAATGAATCACTTACAGAAGCCTGGAATAAATACACAATTTTAAGTTGTATCAAGAATATTGCTTTGAGTGCTATAAAGCCATCAATTTTAAATGCGAGCTGGAAAGCAATATGGCCAGAAGTAGTTATACCAGGGAATATGGTTCCAATGATGAAGAAGGATTAACTGGCATTATTAATTTATTAAATAAATTTCAAGAAGAAGGCTCTCACAATTTGAATGTGAATATTAACAAATTACTAGTTGATAACAAATTAACTGATGATGAACTAATTCACTTAATATCTGAAGCCCATGCTGCCGATGAATACGGCAATGACCTTGAACCAGTTTCATTCGCTGCAACAAATATTTACAAAGCTCTTCAAGTGGCCAAAAAACTGGAAACTGCAATTCTAGATGCTGATCCAAACATCCAACAAGTATTAAAATTTCAAAAAGATTTTAAAAATGTTGCAGTGAATATCGAAGAATTTATGAAAACTTAGCAAAAGATGGGGTTGGAAAAAGATCATCCAAAAACATAAACATAAATAGTGAAATCAAAGTAGTACTTCCAAATATTTCAAGCGATAAAGATGGTGACTTTGTGCCAATTAAAAAGAGAGGTTGATTGCTTTAGATTACAGTATAGACACCAACAGCAAATAAAATTTTGGTTTTTCTGAATTTTTATTAGCATTTTTTTGTGTGAAAATATGTGAAATAAATATTTTTATGACTTATGTTGGCCTATTTCTTGAGTATTTTTTGTACTTGTGGACTCTTTTTATGCAGTTTCCTTCTACATTAAAAAAAGATGCATGGAACAGATAATCCACAGAAATTGAGAGACAGGTGCACTTTTTTCTCTATCTTTATCTTTGTTCTCTCAATTCTATTCCTCAAAAAGTCTTTAAGACTAAAATCTGTTTTGAAGAGGGTACATATTTGTCACTGCAACTAATATAAAATAACTTCTGTAAGAATTCTTTTTTATTCAGAAAATCACAAATATAATTGTTTTGGTCCAGTGGTCCCCAACTTTCTGGCACCAGGCACCAGTGCTCCTGTGAGAATCTAATGCCTGATAATATGAGGCAATAATGCTAGCACTGGGGAGCAGCTGCAAATACAGATGAAGCTTCCCTTACTTGCCAGCTGCTCATCTACTTCCCTTACTTGCCAGCTGCTCATCTACTGCCCAGTCTGGTCTGTGGCCCAGGGGTTGGGGACCCCTGCTTTAGGGATGCATATAAATTATTTGGGAATCTGAAGATTTTACTGAGTTTTTTATAAACCTGAAGAATTTGATTTGTTAGACAACTATGAAAAGTCACAATGCCTTTAAGCAAAGCCTAATAATTCCTATAAATCATTACCTTAGATAACAGCTTGTCGAATAAGCTATCCATTATCGCTACAAGCTTAGCTGATATTTCAGCTATGTGGTCATGGTAGTCCTGTAATGAGAAATAACATATTTTAAAGCCCTTGGGTACGTCTAAAACATTCTTAATCAAGGAATTAAATTTATGCAAATTCAGTAGAGAACATATGGAAAAGTACCTTAGTGATATGATCAAAATGCCTAAGCATGCTATACTGCTTAGGCTGCAGTCGAGCTTCAAAATGAGCCCGGATTACAGGAATGTAGTGTACGATTAACTGCAAACAGCGTGAAGAAAGAGCTGAAGACCCAGGTGGTAGATATATCATGGAGAAACAAAAAAGGATATTGTTGACTTTAAGGACATAAATTAAGTAAAAAATGTCAATTAATTTTATAAGACCCCAGTTCATTTCATAAATGAAGAACAGAGTGGCAAAAAGCAACATGTTTCATTTTGTTTAAGAAAATTATTTGATACTGAATAATGTAATGAAAATGCTGATTTTCCAAATGTACTCAAGTTGTATTACTGGCACGAGGAAGCTAATGACACAACTGATTCTCTTCTGACATTCAGATACCTTTCACCCACAGTATTCCATACACATTACATCTTAACATTTTCCACAGTGGTACAACTTTCAAATAACTTATACTTGTTAGACTGAAAATTCCTCATAACATTTCCTCAGAAATTAGTTTTTCTATTATGGCAATACATAAAAGAGCGAAATAGCATTTGCTACTCCGAGCCTTTGGTTAGAATCACAAAAACATCAGATATACAAAAACACGAGTATACTGACATCATAACACTTCAGCATGTGAATTAAATTCAAGAATCCATACCCAAATTTTTTGTAGTTATTGTTTTTAGTCCAACAACTTGCAGTGCACCAGCTCCAAGAACTAACTGGCAACTTCTTGAATTGAAGTACTAACAAAAGAAGGAGAAAAAAATCATCTATTGAAAATTATTTATTGTATGCAGGCAATGTGTTAACAGTTCTAAAAATACATTCCTCTTTCCTCTTATTCGAGGATCAAATGAATTTTCTACTGGAACAATTAGGATCTATTTATGTAATGAGAAAAAGGGTGTGTGTGTGTTCCTAAATGATAACAAATATTTACAGTCTGGTAGGAAAAAAAGTTGAGAAATGCTAAAAATCAGTTGTTTAGAAATTAACTTTGCATTCACAAAACTGTTCAGTCTTTTCTTTAGTCATTCTTACTGGACAGTCCTATTTTTAAAAGGATAACAAAATCTTTCCAACTGAAACATGACAATTCAATTGGGGGAAAGAATTAATTGATGGATTATAGATATTTGAAAAAAATGAAACCTTCTTTTTATGTTAGCAGTTAAAAATATCTGTTAATATGAAATGGCTGAATAAAATTATCACATTTTTATTTTACATCAATGGTTCTGAAAGAATGATTTAAGAAAAATCTCTAACCTTAGTGAGATGAATTTTGTAAAGTTCAGTGAATTCCTTCCATGCACATTTGAAACCAGTCCAGGTTTTTTGACCTAAGTGGCCTCAGTCATGTTCAGCACCTAACGAACAAATCATCTCCTGTCTCCAATGTCATTAACAACTCTATGGGTGTAATGAGGAATCACTAAATGCAGAGTGAGAAGGAAGAAGGCAGCCTTCTTCCAGTAACATGTGATTTGACCACTATCAAATGTCACAAAATTAATGTGTTAAAGATAACTTAACCTTGAAATGTCTTTGAGTTGGAAAATTAGTCACACCCTAAAGCAGTGGTCCCCAACCTTTTTGGCATCAGGGACTGGTGATCCTATGAGAATCTAATGCCTGATGATCTGAGGTAGAGCTGAGGCCCAGGAGAGCAGCTGCATATACAGATGAAGCTTTGCTCCCTCAACCGCTGCTTACCTCCTACTATACAGCCCATTTCCTGACAGGCCATGGACTGGATATCGGTCTGCGGCCTGGGGGTTGGGGACCCCTGCCCTAGAGAATTACTTCTTCTAACTTTGTTTCCATAATGTAGTAAAATCATACCCACCTTCAATAAATCTGACAGACGAGTAAGCATGTCAGTAGTAATAGATGGAATATTATCCACACACTGGCAATATTCAAGGATAATTCTTATCAACAGCAATACAGTTCTATAAGAAAAGAAAGATGACTCAGTAGGCAGTCAAAACAAAAAAAAATCAAACTAATTTGGTATATAAAAATCAACACTGATCTTGGTAACTGCTAAATTATGTGTTTTACCTACAAGGGCAGCAGAGTAAAAACTAGGGGGAAACAAGAGAGATTCCTAGGGTGCAAAATTAAGGAGGCATTCAATTTCAAGGTCATTCACTTACAGGGTCAGCACTTATATAACACTGAAAATAAGTACCTCCTTAAGTTTGTGCTGTGAGCACACAGCTCTCTGTGTGGCATCCATATTAAGTCTCTTTTATAAAGCAGGTATATCTCATTCCCTGGCCAATTAAGAAACACTAACCACCCTCAAGAGAGCACATAATCTTGTTAACTTTAATCCAATCCCTGACTTGCTTTCCCCCATCTCTATGTAATCTTCCTGATGTTTCCTATAATTTCAAATGCATAAAAGAAGCTGCAAAACTTCAGAATGTTGTCAGTTTTGCTCAAATAAACTCTTACAAAAATCTTCTACAGGTTTGGACATTTCTTACGTTGACAGTCACAAAAAGTTCTACAAAGATGAGAAAGTCATCAGCTCATTAGCAGGACATATCATAAGTTGAAAAGAGAATTACTGAGGTTAAATATGACTGAAATTAAGGGGAAAAGAGGCATTCATTTAGGATATATAAGTTCAATGAGATGCTCAGAAATGAGTGATCTGTGTAAAATAATGTTTTATAAAAGTCTGAAGGATATTAGGAAGTAGAAATTTAAGAAAGATAGTGTCTAGCCTTTATATGGAAGGGATGAGATTACTATAAAAAGCATTGCCCTACCAGAAACAGAAAAGAACTGTACTGGAGAAAATAAATGAAAGTGTTAGACTACAACGAGGTACTTTTGAGTTTGTGGTAATAGAGATTGAGAAAAAGCATCAATTCTATACATATTTTTTGACTACTTATTGGGTGCCAAGAAAAATTAAAATGGTAAGATATGATTCCTACCTTTGAGGAACTTAGAGTCTAACCAGGGAGATATATACATAAATAAATAATTCTAATATACTGTGAAAAGTGCCATGATAGAGGCAAGTAGAGTCACAAGGAGAAAATCATCCATTCTCCCTGGAAGGGATGTCTATTTCAAAACAAAACAAAAAACAAAAAAAAAATACTTATACACTGTCGAGAAACAAAGAAGAAGAGTGAAAAAGAATTTTAGTCTAGATATTGGGAGCTAGACCTTGATTTTAATTATGACTTTATTTGGGTCATTTTTTATTAACCATTTAATCCTCGAAACTTCAATTCTGCTAACAGTTCAAAGGGAACAATAATCCTTGAAATGTCTATTTCACGACAAAGTTGTAGAGATCAAATGAGATCGTATATATGAAAATACTTAACCCATGAAGTGCTGTTAAATAATATGAAGATATTTTAATTACTCATTTAATAAAAGGCATGTTGCACTAGACAAACCACACTGGAATTGATATTTTTCTTAATTAGCTTGATTTTGGAATACTGAATTGGTAAAAGAGGAAAAGACCTAGTGACAAATAATGATAATGGAAACAACTACCAACTATCAACTTCATATTAGGTGCTAAATGCTTTATATAAATTACCTGCTTAATTTTTGCAGTAATTCTAAGTACAGTACTATTTTCCACATTTTGTTCTACAAATAAGAGAACTGAGGCAAATCGAATAATTTGCCCAAGTCACAAAGAGTACAGAGACCCTGGGATTCAAACCTAAGCAGTCTGACTTCAGAGCCCACAGCTTCAACTATTATGCTATATACTATACCCTAAAAAAAAGCTGCACAAAAAAAGAAAGAGCTTGAGACACTAAGAATATCATGGAGACACTATACCACCCTTGGACCATGTAACTCTAGATTTCTTGTTACACTGAAAAATCAATAAGCCCTTTTTTGCTGAGCCACTGTATTCCCTAATGAATACAGAACACTACAAAATATAGAAAATAAAAAAGAATCTGTAAAATTTCCTTTAAATTCTTTGTAGGGTTTTAAATTGTTAACCTAAAATTTCCAAGTCGCATCAAGGGGGAATGAGAAAACCTATGTTTTAGATAATTGACTCAACTATTAAAGAAAAATGTGTCACTCACCCAACAACAGCATATTGTTGTCCCTCGACAATAAGAACTTCAGCTGGTTTCCTTTCTTCTGTAGCTAGGGAGTAAAAAAATAAACAAGAGAGACATAGGTAAAAGATGAAACAAAATATTGCAGAAAAAATTTAAACTAGGAAAATGAAGAAGATAGTTACTATTTAGGGCCTGAAACTGTCTAATTTCTGAAAATAAATATCAACTTCTTAGGAAGCGATTTGGCACAGAGTATATAAAGTATAATGGGTTTGAAATCTGAGAGATTTGAATTTGAGTTCCAGTACTGCCAATTAATTAACTTCTTTGAGTCTCAATATCTGTATCTATTAAACATAGATAACAATATCTATCTTTCAGGATTATCGTTAATGATATAAAGATAATGATTATAAACTGTCTATCCTCTAGGTCTGGCACATGGTAAATGATCGGTAAGTTGTAAAGAAAAAATGTTATTAGTTTGGAAAAGCAGAACTAACAATTCAACTGATCTTTTCTTTATTATACTTCTTAAAACACAAGTTAATTCCTATATTCAATGGATAGATTATATATTAACTTTTCAAGATTTTAATCCAGAAGTTACTTTATTTTCAGCATGTGATATTTCCTATCATTATAAAACAAAATTCAGCATGCTGAGACCAAAAGAAAGGTGGACTGGAATATTGTCCTGAATCAGCCAAATTAATTAGATTACCATGGGCAAGTCATCATGCTTCCCTAAGCTTTAAGATCTCTATGGGCTCTAAGACATTTGTGAATGAAAAAGGGGCTATGTACAAGTTCAGTGACTGAAAGTAACCTCACCAGGTAATCTGATCATAAAATCCTAATCAGGCAGGTCATGGTACGTAGTCATGCCTCAGGCCTACAACTTCCCAAGTAAAAGGTTAACTTTGCCTTAGGCAAGCCCTGTCCATTGTTTCTGTGCATCTAGGTTAACAGACCTTTGAAATGCCTCTTTTTCAGACCCTTATAAGATTAACTACCCTCAAGAGAGCACATAATCTTAACTACCTCGTACCCTGCTTTCTCTTACCTTTATGTAATCCACCTTACATTTCCCCCTTAATTCCAAATGTGTAAAAACAATGGCAAAACTGTCATTTACCCAAAGCACTTGAAATCTTGCTTCCCAGCATATGTCCTCAATTTGGCTCAACTAAACTCAAAACAATTCTCTACAGATTAGGACATTCTTATGTCAACACATTAAATGTCTATTTCATTTCTTTCAAGCAAAGAAATTCAGTGTGATGTAATTTCTAATCACAATTTACTCTGTATGCCAAATTAAATTTTTTGATAACAGGGGCTGTATCTTAACCAATTCTCTACATTGCAGAGAAGTGGCATAGTATACACTTAAGAAAAAGAGCCCTAAAGTCAGTCTGTCTGAATCTGGATCCCAGTTCTACCATCTCCTAGCTATGTAACCTTAGTCAAGTTGCTTAACTTCTTTGGGCCTCAGTTCTCATATTTGTGAAATGGGAATACTAAGTGTCTAGCTCACGGACCTATAAATGAGATAACAATGTAAAGTGCTTAGAACAAACTGTCTAGCATGAAGTAAGCACTCAATACTAACTTATCCATTTATTGTGTTACTACCTATTTGGCTAGGGATGGGGGAAATGAAGGTTATCCATTAACTTTCCCTATCCCCCCTCCCTAGCCAAGTAGGTAGTAACTCAATAAATGGATGGTTTGATGAATAATAACCAAGAATCCTCAACTTGGTAAGAACTAGTAAAATATTAATGGACTTCAAATAGCATATACTTTCTTTACTCTCAGAGGAAAAAAGAAAAGAAGAAAACACTGGGATAGAAGCAGGGTATGTAGAGAAACCTCCCACGGTCTGTATCCTCCAACAAGGAAGAAAAATAAATAGTTCACTTTGCAGGAAAAACACATAGTTAATTCAATCACTGTATGTCCTTTTAATTAAAAAACCATTGTGTTTAATTAAAAAAGCATGACAGTGGATTACAAGACTGTTTATGGACAGAAAACATGTCAGTCATCTAGTATGACATCTCACACAATGGAAAGTCAATCAAATATAGCTTGAAACAGTGTATGAGTGATAAATCTTACAATTTTAAACCTGTGTTTCAGTGTTTTATTTTTCTTTCAGTTTTTGCTACTTGAATGCTTTTGCTTTGCTAATATCATATGGTTAATTTAAAAAATTGTGACTACCATCCAATACTGTTATCTACTAAAAATGGTCACTAGACAGTCTACGGCCATGCCACCCTGAACATGCCCGATCTTGTCTGATCTCGGAAGCTAAGCAGGGTCAGGTCTGGTTAGTAGTTGGATGGGAGACCACCTAGGAATACCAGGTGCTGTAGGTGTAATAAACAAACGAACAAACATTAAAAAAAAAATGGTCGCTCGACAATAGAAATTTTTACTTAATTCCCTCAATTCCTCTCTCTACCATATGTGAATTAATCTACTTTACACTTGTCTTTAAGGCCTCTCTTGTCACAGTGGTAGAAGAGATAGCCTTTCTCTTGAATTCTATTTTTGATTACAGGGACCTGCCCCACACTGTCACTCTTATCCTAAAATAACCTTCTTCCTGTTCTTGTTAAACATGAAAATATAATTCAGCTTCTAACTTAAAACTCCTCCCAACTCCCTGAGTGGATTTAGGTAACCTCAAATTTCTCTCATGTCTCTAGCTGCCACTTTGTAACTCACTTTCCCTTCACAGCCAAACTTGCTGAAAAAGTAGGCTGTACTTGTCCATCCTTCCCCACCTTTCCAGCTGCTTAGCCCTGAACTACAATCTGACTCTATCACTCTATTGAATTGCTAAGATTGCAAATGATCTCCTACATGTCAAACTGGTAATCACTGTATTTTACTCAGTCTATTTCTTAAGTAGAAATTGCATTTTGTACAAATATGAAGTACACGACTTAAAAACATTTCAATGTAAAAATATTAAAATTTCATTAAATGCATAAAATTTGAAAATGCAACCGCCTCCTCCATTAAAAATATTCAAAGACTTCAAAGTTTCAAATCTGGTATTATAGGATGAGTTGTATATAAATTTACATTATTATCACATGACAATTCCATTTTAACTTGTATACAAAAATATTTCCCATCCATTGTGAATCTTTCATATGAAACCCAACTGGTATTTGATACCAGTGACAATTCTCTTCTTGAAGCTCAAATTTTTTCACTTCTGTGTTCTGGATATCTTCCTACCTTGCCCTTTCTTAGTCTCCTTCATAGTTCTCTTTTTCTATGGTTCTTTACATCTGGTTTTCTTATATCATACTATATCTTGCTAATATACTATGTCTAATGTGATTGCTAATGCATATTTTTTATTAGACTTGGCCCTTTTCAAGTAGAATAACTGCTATCTCTGTTCCAATATCTGACACATAGATGATTACTAGTGTTCGACGAATGAATACATGTCTCTTAAACAATATGATACAGTGGTTCAGAACATAGCTATGAAATTATACAAAGCTGGTTTCAAATCTCAGCTTATCACATTTGTACAAAACTCCTTAACCCTTCAAAGCCTCATGCTTTTTCACTTCTTCACTGTTAAACAAGGTAACAATAGTTTCTTCATCATAGATTGTTGAGAGGATAAACTGGAGTGACGCATACAGAGCACCTGGTCCAGTGTTTGGCATGTGATTAACACTCAATAAATATCTGAAACTATTATTATAAATTACCACGGATACTTTTCCAGTCAACTACTTACTGGGAGAATTAGTTCTATGCTTTAAAGAGGTATTGTCAATTAAAGAAATATTAAGCATTCCTACAAAAAGAACAAACAATATAAAATTGGAAGAGAGTGTGAGAAAAAATACACATACCCCCTGATTTTTTTTCAGGTAAAGCAATCTTTCCATCTGATATAGAATCAACAAGATCCTGAAATTCTGCAGGAACATCAGCTTGCTTCCAGCGCTCATTGTCTAAGAGGAGGCTATTCAAAAGTAAAAATGAAGGAAGATAAACTTTAATAATATTTCAATGCCATCTTCCTTGCTTGGAAAAAAAAAGAGCTGATTAAGTACATAAGACTTTTGTTATGTCTTTTAATAATAATAAAGACTACATGTATCTTAGTTAAATTTAAATAGAACTCATGCAATACAAGGCACTGATTTTTAAACAGTAATTAATGACTATTAGCTATTGTGAGTACATAAAACTTAAATAAATTAAAATCATTCATAAATAGTATGAATACTTTCAGAAAATAGTTCTCTTTTTATATCTCTTGGCCTAACCAAGAAAAGTCTTGAAACATAATCAACTTCACTTCGAGTGGGAAAGGAAAAGCTATCTACTAAGGATCTTCCTGAAAGATACTTTAATGGAAATAAACATTCTAACTCCACTTTGGAAAGCCAAGAAACTTGATTTTAATTCCACAATCTGCATTTAAAAAGAAAAAAATTTGTCAAGGGTATGTTTGGCAAATCAATTAAGTTTCTTCTTTTAAATATAATTATGTTTTGTAAAGAAATGGAAAAAAATTTAAGAACAGAATGGACATGGCAATACTACCTGAGTTTGGTTTTTCTTTCTTCATGAAACCTGTTTACAAATTTATTAGCTTGGCTCTGAAGTGCTCCAAGTAATGACATGCTTTTTCTTCCACAGATCTGTTCAGTGTCTAAAATGAATGTTTCCATTAATCTAGAAAGTGTTATGAATTCCGTGGAATTTAGCTTCTCAAGAAAACCATCCTAAATTTTAAAGATAACATAAAAATCATGACATTCAGTATAACACCAACTCATTTTAACAAGTGTTAATATTATACTATTTTTATGACATGTAATTATGTTAATTCATAAAAATTTCTTGAAAATCATTTTTAATGAAATTTTCCAGTAGTTTAGTCCCAGAAATTGAACATAAAAAGTTTAAGATGTCCAAATTTTATTCTGACCCCTTTATAATACAGATCAAATAAATTCAGGTCATTCTATAAAAATTTCACAATATTGGAGTTTAACTAATTTTATAAATACGTTGCTTGGCTAGTTATACACACACACACGTGTAACAGCATTATTAATTTCAAATTAATTATTAAGGTATTATATTTCAAAATAACTCTTTTAATCATTTATTTGAAATGAATACTTGAATAAGTTTTCCTATTTCTTTTATCTGGATTATTTTAATATCTCCCTTATAAACCACACCAGTACTGTTAAGTTTATCAAGTGTTAAAAATATAATATGTATTATATGGAACATAGGGACATAAGCAAGGATCTGAATCCAGATCTCCAAAATAATTACACTATGTATAAAATAGCTAAAGCTTTATCAAAACAACTAACCTTTGCTCTTGACATAAGAAATTTGACAGCTCGATCATGGCATATATCTGAGGCACTATACACTAACTCCTGGATAGTATTTGCCAGCTTTCCTAGCTCTAAGTCAGTTAATTTCATGTCTTCGTTCACCCTATAAATGATAAAAAGAGATTACGACAGGAAAAGTTGTAAACACATTGTTATACATTGGTGGCATATCCGTAAAAAACAAAAATTTTTCACATTTGAGGAAAAATTCTGTGATATCTCAAATACATTTTTTTGTGGTGAAGCATCACTTAAACAAGCTCAGGTAATACAGATATATTTTAGCCTAATCTTATATAAGGATAATTTTTTCTTTCTGCTGTAGTGTTTTTAATACTTAGTTCAGACTCTGGTTGGAAATGCTACAAAAACTATAGCAAAAAAATTTTTAGTTAGGTATAAGGTGGTAGCTGTGGTAGGTTTTACATAAGTGTTTTGGATGACACAGTAGAAGGAGGAAGAAGGAAGGAATGTTATTTCATGACCAATGGGCCATTTTTTAGTTAGAATTATGAATGATTGTTAACTAACATTCAGTTTAATTGAACGTTATCTGAGCATTTACTGTATTTAAGTGCTTGGCACTAGAAGGGATATAATACATCACTGCCGCCAAGAAACTTATAGTTGAATAGGAGTATTTATAAGATGTAATGCATTTTTTTCCAGTTTTGAGAAAGAAATGTAATTAAGACTTTCAGTTTTTATACATTTTACCCCTGGGGCATATATAAAAATCACTGATTCCATGCCAATAATTCATTTTAGTGTCAATAAGAACAAGTTAAGTGCTTTAGCATCATTTTTCTCCCTTTTGGTTGAATTAAAATAATTTTCGAAGATATTACAAAGAGGCTCTGAAATATACTAATTAGAGACAAACCACTATTCTAACTGGGCTAAGGTGTTAAAGTTATTTCTGGCTAGCCTTCGAAATGATAATATCACTAAATTTACTAAAGCTTTAAAATAATAGAAGGATTAATATTCTTAAAGTACTCTCAGAAACGGTAATTTGTTTGGTTCTCACTCTTTGAGGCAGGTAGATAAGTATCTACTTTACAGATGACGACACTGAATCTTCGAAAGTTTAACTGACCTATCTAAGGTTATAAGATTAAAATAGTTTGGGACTAGAATCCAGAATTAGTCTAATTTTATTTCTCATCTACTAAGCTTCCTTTACTCCAACATTTACTTCTATATAGACAGCTGAGTGCTATTTCAATACCAGCTCCCACAAAACTGTGCTTAAATTTCAAAGTTTAAATTTATTATTAAAATAAAATTTTATTTTCTAAAGGATGCCTAAAATTTATCCCCATGTAACAGGATGATAAAGAATTTGGAACTCTAGGAAAAATGCTACCAATTCACAAAGATATAAACAGAAAATAGCAAATAAAAACTAATGTCTTTTAAAAAGCAGGGTGACAATTCAAAAAGCTGGGAAATTTTTTTTTTAAATCATTTATCCGTAATTCTGCTTTTTAAAAAGATTTTTAATTTTTAAGTCTAATTGGATCTTTTTCATGTTATTGAGGGAAAAAACCTCGTGAACGTTTCTGGGTATATATAGAAATGAATTGAAAACAGGACCTCAAAGAGATATTTGCACACCCATGTTCAAGTAGTAACACTATTCAAAATAACCAAGAGATGGAAACAACCCAAGAGTCTGCTAACAGATGAAAAGATAAATAAAATGTGGTCTATACATACAATAGAATATTATTCAATCTTAAATTAGAAGGAAATTCTGACACATGCTACAACATGGTTGAACCTTGAAGACATTATGCTAAGTGAAATAAGCAGACACTAGAGGACAAATACTGTACGATTCCACTTGTATGAGGTACCTGGAGTAGTCCAAGTATTGTGGGGATAGAAAGTAGAAGGGTAGTTGCCAGGAGATGGGTGAAGGAAGAATGGGCGGTTGTTAGATAGTTTCACTTTCGCAAGATGAAAAAATTCTAGAGACTGGTTGCACAACAATGCGAATATATTTACCACTACGAGACTGTACACTTAGAAATAGTTAAGATGGTAAATTTTATGTATTTTTTCCAACAATTTAAAATAAATCATTTTTTAAAAAAACCCGACAAAACTTTCTAATCTTTTCCATTATTTTTCCTTTCCCATTTCCTGCTTGGGAAATTATTCACTCTTTTGTGCCCATTTCAGCATTGCAATAAACTTACAAAATTGTAGATTATTTTGACAATGTTAAGAAAATAAAGAAAATCTACCACTAACAAGGATAAAATGCCAGACATCATTTTTGTGTTATAGCCATGACACAATTAAATACTACAAAAACACCAGATACAAGAGGGTGGCTCCATAGTGTAGTGGTTAGCACGTCTGCTTTACATGCAGGAGGTCCTGGGTTCATGCCCCAGATGGAGCCACGGACCATACCCCGGGTGCGCCTGGCCTCCCAAGTGTGCCAGGGGTGCAAGGCCCTGGGTGTGCGCCGCGAGCATGTGGGAGGAGATGACAGCCTTCAGAGATCCAGTTCTTAAAAGGAAACAACAACATCCATAGGTCAAGGATGGAAGTGGGGAGGTGGGGGGAATTAAAGAGGGGGAAAAAAAAAAACAGATACAAGAATAGCCAGAGCCCTTGTAAAAGTCAACTAGTCAGAGTCACACTTATAAATATACTCAATTAATTTATTGCTCCTTTAAGCTGGGTAGTTCCCTGACATACATGTGCCTATAAAACATAGGAAGAACCATCTATAGAACCTGTTATCATGTTGTGGGAGCACATAATTGGGGAAAGCCAGAGAAGCTTCAAAATCTAAAGTGAGCCACAATGGAGGTGGTAAGGGAGGGCTATAAACTATGAGACCACATCTGATTTAAAGGAATCTCAAATAGTATGGCAGAGTGTTAGTTACCTTGCAATATCTTATCTCTTTTCTGCCACAATAATAGTTTTAGCTGGCAAGTAGTCAAAAAGCTAAAGATTATTTCTCAAGCCTCCCCTACAGCTAGTTATAGCCATGTGATAATATTCTGGCCACCAAGATGTGGGTGGAAATAATGAGTACAAATTCTGGATTGTGCTCTTCAAAAAAAATAAATAAATAAAATATAAACAAATCTATGTGCAGGCAACAGAGAACTAACAAATCCAAAATCTAAATGGATTTGTAGTAGACCAAGAATTATCAAGCCAGTCTTGGAAGAAAGGTAGGAGAAATTATTCTACCACATATTGAGTCTAATTAACAAGCTATAGTAACTAAGACAATTTTACTTAATGATACTGGTACAAAGGCAGACAAGTGAACAAAATAGAGTCTA